AATCCTTCTCAAATTTCCCTTCATCTATCATAATATTTTATCCCTGTTTAGCCCATGGCAATATCTAGATGGTTTTGGTCTCGAATACAATAAGAATCATTTATCTTGAAGATCGTTTGGGTTCGAATACAATAAGAATCATTTATCTTGAATATTGTTCGAGTTCTAATACAAATAAGAATCATTTTTCTTGAAGATCATTCACGGTGCAGTCTCGAATGAGAGTTATGAAATAGAATCCCGAGTCACTTGGTGGAAGTTGCCTGATCGGTATATAATGTTTAGCGATTGATATATCTCTGCAGTTTGGGACTAAGGAAGAACTACCTGATTTTTACCTTTAACTTACCATACCGTATATTACCTATTTACCACACAGATAAGTAAATTGATCTAATGAATAAATTGTTTTAAATTTGAATTATGTGCAAACTTATGTGAATTAAAATTTGATACCTAGCTTATCTAAAGCATGTAAAATTAATTTGTTAGTGGTTAGTGATTTTCTATATTTCTATCACTAATGTAGAGTTAAGTATATAAGCTTTAAATATAGTGGTGCAAAACTTCTTATTCAAAGTTATTAGAGTTATTTAAAAACCTAACCCACGTCCTATAAATTGAGCTCAAACACATATATCAAAGTAGATAAAATAACCAACTATTCATGTTACAATATTAAATTCAAATTCTTATCTTTTCTGATATAGATCTTGATTTTAAAAAAATCATATAGTTTTGGCTCTAAAGACCGAAATGTTACCGGCGGCCCACCATGTATACAGAGTCTCTGGAAATTAACAAATATTGAAAGAGGTGATTCTACTACAAAAATTAATCCGTCTCTATTTAATACATCTCTGATTAAAATTTTAAAATTTTATTGAAAAAAAGTGAGTATAAAATTGCAATAGTTTATTTGAAGGCGTTTCGATAATAATAATAATTAAAAACTATCTTCAAGATACCTTAGGTTCCATTTTGTTGATCTGTTTTTATACAAGGTGTTAGTATGTTCGACAGACAAGACAGAGAGCTCTCGTTAATTGGTTAATTTTGATATTGGAATATGAACCCTTAGAGAGCTTTGAGAGCTTAGTTATCGAGATAAAGGGTGTTAAATGATTTAAATTAAGATTTAAAATTTGCCATAAATCAAATGTCTTTAAATATTTATTTCAGCCAAAATGTATAAAATAAATATTTTCGGATGTATTTTACTGTAGCATTTTAATTTGAACACTGTAACGAGCATTTTGATACTCGTTAGGATTTTATTTTTTCGTATATTTATTATTCAAACAGAAAAGATAATAAATAGTGTTACTCTCGTTGGGATTTTGATTTCGTATTTTTGTATTTAATATTTAAAGGGACTTTTCGAGTTCACCTTGTATAGTGTTCAGTTTTGGATTCGATGGAGACAGAATCATCTACGCGGCGGTGACGCTGTGCAATGCCAGAGGTAGGGAGGGGAAGGTGATAAAAAGAGTTTTATTTTAGTCAAAGTGAAATTATCGAAGTGATGGTTTAATATTTAGCAATAGGTGATATAGAAGCTTTTTCTTTATTGTTCTTAAGGTGAATTGTTCTCTAAACGCTGCATTAGAGGGGTGCTTATAGATTACGAGTATTTTTTGCAGGGATTTAGTGGTTATCTGATGTATATTCCACTAATTTAGGTCTATATCATTGGTTATAGGTGGATACCAGGAAGTTTTCAACTATTTAGAGCGTTTTTTTTTTTTTTTTTTCGAGAAAAATCCATTTTTCGTCTTAACTTAGACAACGGATTTTGACCTTTAATACCTCGTAATTTGAAGTGGTTAATTTTGTTTTAATACCTGCAACGGATTTTAACCTTTATCGTCTCGTAATTTAATATGGTTTTTCCAGTGAACGGAGATTTATTAACTTGTGTAAATTTGTCGATAGATTTTGCATTGATTTAATTTATAATTTATTTTAATTTGTTCATTGTTTTTTCTCGAGCGTGTAACACATGAATGGAGCGCTGATTACTGGGTCATATTTTTTTTGCAAATCCTAGTATCCCTAGTGTGGTATTTAGGTGCTTTACTTATCGCCATGAAATATTAAACCTAATTCACTGGTTCAGCGGAGATAAAGTGACTTTCGGCACAGAACGTTTTTCTATCTTTCTTCTCTCATCTTTTCTTTTCACTTTCTTAGTACTTTTTTATTAATTAATTTAGGCATAGTCCTGATAAAGGAAGCTACAAAACTAAATGCTGGTTAATTAATAGAAAAAAATACCCTAATCTACTTCTATCTCCACCATCCTATTTCCTTTTAAGTTTTTTCATTATTTTATTATTTTTGGGGACAATTTTTCATATAACCTACAGGATTATTTGGCGTATGATAGGATAATTTTTTTGCGAGCCGTTTGGGATTTAGTTCAATATAATTTAAATTTCTGGCAACCGTTGTTGTTTTTTATGGAAATCATTAATTTTTAATGATTTTAAGTGACAAATTAAATCTCATATAGTGATTTATAATTTGGGATATTTTCCAAGTGGAATAATCTATGTTTAATTAATTCTCAGATCATTAATATTATTAAAGGGTAATTTACCTTGTGTCAAGTGGGTTTATTTTTCCAATGAATATTAGCTATTTTAATAATTTAAGCTTAACTTTAGCATCAGCGCTATCGAAATTTAAGTTTTAGTTAATTTTCTGAGTAAATTAACCTTTTCTTAACGTATTTAGTTTTAATATTGCTTCTTCCTAATAGGTGGATGTAATTATTGCAGACTAAAAGGTCTGGGACCTAATCGTGGTTTTATTTCTGGGGAATAATATCATTCCTTTTTTATCAGTAATCTTTTGGGAATTTACGTAACCTCAGAGGTAGTAAAAGGCGTCTTTTAACCACCATTTTTTGTGTCGCCAATATAAGTAGCTCATTTAGGTTTCATTTTCATATACTGGAGTATTACCAATGAATTAAGCCAACAGAACGTCGGTGAATCCGTAACTTAGAGCATCAGGAGACCTTATACTGACAAATCTCCTTCCTTTGCAGAAACCGAACTCGATACCACCTCGTTCAAACTCCTGAGCAGGCTAGATCACCTCCAGAACCTGCAGGGCCATCTTCTCAGCTTAGAAATCCAGTAACCTAAATCGAAACTTAGCCGAGCTTTCTTGTATATATCATTTGTATAGGTTACTTAAATTGCATATAACTTTTTCTTATCTATCATAATTTATTTGTTCAATGTCTTTCAATAATTAATTTTATATATTAAGACCCTTCAGTTCAGCTTTTACATTTGTATCACATTTCATACTTTATTTGTTCACTATCTTTCAAAAGACAATTTTTATGTATTAAGAACCTTCAGTTCAAATTTAAATATTTTGTTTTTTACTCTCAGAACCTTCAGTTCTCATTGTATGTTAAATTATTTATAATAAACACTATATTGAATTTATCTGTTTTAATTTGCCTGCTATTAGTTTGAATTTGAACCTAGCGTACCGTATCTTAACTGTTGTCCCAGTTTAGTTGGTTTCCTATTTTTTTTTCCTCTGAAGAAGTATATTTTTTAATATAGCCTTGTTCAAATTCAGACCCATCTTAAAAAGTTTCAAAATAGGCACCTACCTAAGAATTCACCTCTGGTTAAATGAATATTGAGCATAATCACTACAAATTTATCTTGCCAAATCAGACAATTTCAAATAATCTTTTTTATTGTCTCTCAACGAAAGTGCTGCAACACCCGATATAAATAAAGCAATTTTGTTTAAGTTTAATCAATGATGTACTTAGTATTTACATTTAAATTGTAAAAACATGACCTTGTCTAGTCTAAAAGTAAACGTCAGTAGTTGAGATTGAATCTTTAAATTAACTAATTAATTACTTTTGATTTTAAAACTTGTTTGTTCCTAAAAGAACAATATTAAAATAGATTTTAATGTTATTGTGTAATAAATTAACACAATTGACTTAAACGTATTCTAATTAATGTGTTATTTATTATCTCTTAAATTTACATATACAGGAAGGCTCAAATGTACGGAATAACGAGTATAAATTTTGAAATATTGAAAATATTAAAAAATAATTATAATAAAAGCTGTTTTGAAGTTCATTTAAATTTTTATGGTAACATTACCAACTTAGGAAAAAAATACGGAGCCTATGAAAGGAGGCCAATTTTTTTTTAATTGTAACCCCCATTTTTATAGCAGAATTTGAAAGAGGCTATTTTTTTATTACAACCAAGTGTTAATATTGAACCGATATACTAAAGAATAAAGATATTAGTATAATGGGTTGCCGAGCATTATGCTTTAAAATTGTTTAAATTTGTTTAAAAGTTTTTTGTTATAGGTTTTTTTTGAGGTGAAGTTTACCTGTAATCAGTGAGGGATTTAAAGTCAATCAGATTCCGACTGTCGTCGGGCGCACACACGTTCTTATTCCATCCCAGCTTTGTCAATTATCCAAAAAGCCATTTTTGCAACATTTTTGTGACATCGTATAGAAGGACGACAATCTCAGCTTGTACTAGAATAAATTGCTAAGATCCATCATTCGGCGCACCGTACTCGAAAACTTAACACTGGTAAACGAATTATGGACCTTAGAAATTTATTTTGGTAAAATCTGAGATCGTCTTCCATCTAATTTAATTAATGAAAGAATATATGAATGAATGAATCAATGAAAATGCTAAATATTTTTGTTTTATTCCCATTATTTTGACCAAACACAACCAACTATAAGATTCAAATACAATATTATTTGCGACTTTTTTATTTCCTCTTACATTTCCTGTAACCGTTTAAAATTTTCCACAAAGTAAATAGTATCCTATTTTCCACATTTTTCCGAATATCTTTTCTTATCTAAATCGTTCCAAATAAAAATAATTTATGGTAAATGATTTGGAGCACGTTTTCGTTTATTCAAAAGTGCATTTTTGTTCGAGATAAGATCTGATTAAAAAACTCACCCTTGAATGGAAAAAATTGCATGCTTGACTTCTTCCCTCGTTTCGGCTCTGAAAATGGAAAAGAAAATGAGAAAATTAGTGAATAAATTTTAATATATAAAATGGTTGTTCGACTAAAATAGGAGTTTAGAAAATGTAGCGTGGGATAAGGTGGCTTTCTTTTACATAATTTTGCAGGTAAAACAAAATTAGTTTTTAGGGTCTGGTATAATGGAATTTGTGGTTTTCTACCTTTAATAATAAATATACAGGGTGTCCAATTAGTGTGTGGAAGTCCAGTGTCTCAGTTGTTTTTCAAAATACGAGAATATGTCAAACACAGAAGTTGTTCAGTTCATACAGACACCTATTGTAAAAATATGACCCCAAAGGCAACTTATTTTATATATAGAACACCTTGTATTTAAATTTGAATTCTAGTAAAAATCTAAGTATTGACTGTTTGACACTTTGACAAGCTGAAGCACCCACACGGTTGAAATTAATGTAAAACGGTTGCATGTCCCTTAATCGATTAATCAATCGAAATAATCGAAATAATCGAAATAATCGAAATAATCGAAATAATCGAAATAATCGAAATAATCGAAATAATCGAAATAATCGAAATAATCGAAATAATCGAAATAATCGAAATAATCGAAATAATCGAAATAATCGAAATAATCGAAATAATCGAAATAATCGAAATAATCGAAATAATCGAAATAATCGAAATAATCGAAATAATCGAAATAATCGAAATAATCGAAATAATCGAAATAATCGAAATAATCGAAATAATCGAAATAATCGAAATAATCGAAATAATCGAAATAATCGAAATAATCGAAATAATCGAAATAATCGAAATAATCGAAATAATCGAAATAATCGAAATAATCGAAATAATCGAAATAATCGAAATAATCGAAATAATCGAAATAATCGAAATAATCGAAATAATCGAAAAAATCGAAATAATCGAAATAATCGAAATAATCGAAATAATCGAAATAATCGAAATAATCGAAATAATCGAAATAATCGAAATAATCGAAATAATCGAAATAATCGAAATAATCGAAATAATCGAAATAATCGAAATAATCGAAATAATCGAAATAATCGAAATAATCGAAATAATCGAAATAATCGAAATAATCGAAATAATCGAAATAATCGAAATAATCGAAATAATCGAAATAATCGAAATAATCGAAATAATCGAAATAATCGAAATAATCGAAATAATCGAAATAATCGAAATAATCGAAATAATCGAAATAATCGAAATAATCGAAATAATCGAAATAATCGAAATAATCGAAATAATCGAAATAATCGAAATAATCGAAATAATCGAAATAATCGAAATAATCGAAATAATCGAAATAATCGAAATAATCGAAATAATCGAAATAATCGAAATAATCGAAATAATCGAAATAATCGAAATAATCGAAATAATCGAAATAATCGAAATAATCGAAATAATCGAAATAATCGAAATAATCGAAATAATCGAAATAATCGAAATAATCGAAATAATCGAAATAATCGAAATAATCGAAATAATCGAAATAATCGAAATAATCGAAATAATCGAAATAATCGAAATAATCGAAATAATCGAAATAATCGAAATAATCGAAATAATCGAAATAATCGAAATAATCGAAATAATCGAAATAATCGAAATAATCGAAATAATCGAAATAATCGAAATAATCGAAATAATCGAAATAATCGAAATAATCGAAATAATCGAAATAATCGAAATAATCGAAATAATCGAAATAATCGAAATAATCGAAATAATCGAAATAATCGAAATAATCGAAATAATCGAAATAATCGAAATAATCGAAATAATCGAAATAATCGAAATAATCGAAATAATCGAAATAATCGAAATAATCGAAATAATCGAAATAATCGAAATAATCGAAATAATCGAAATAATCGAAATAATCGAAATAATCGAAATAATCGAAATAATCGAAATAATCGAAATAATCGATTAATCGAAAATAATCAATTAATCGATTATCGATTTTCCAAAAAAAAATTAATCGATTAATCGATGAGATATTTTGTCCACCCCTATGCATGATTCCGTATTTTCCTAAACTTAAATTGGGATATTAATAGTTGATGGTTAATTTGTTTCTACAATGACCATACATGTTAAATAGTATTTTTAATTATTTTGACCTTTACTTGTGAAAATCCTTAATTATTCTAGGAAAAACCAAATTGTGATAGATTTTCACATATTATTTTTAATTAGGCAAAGATTGCCTCTGAAAACCTTCCATAACTTGTTTTTTTACTACCAACATGAGAAACCTCCATTTACTCCTTTCCTCTAATGAGAAATAATATTTATTCTACACCCACATGGATATTATTAGCTTATCTAAGTACAAACTACAAAACGAAAAAGTATGATATTGCGTTCAACTGAACGAATATATTTTATATCCATTCAAGGTGGGAACACTGCATCCAACTACTATTATTTTTAAAATTTCAAATAAGTGACAATTCTGTCAAACTAATTGTCAGTATGTTTTTTAGTTATTGAGATTAAATATACATTAAAATGAGTTATATTTGTGTAGAATCGATAAATAATACTATTTTTATTTTAATATGGTTCACATTAAAAAAAAATTTATATATATAGTTTATAATATATATAAACTAATATAATCAAGAGTATTAAAACTAAAATCCAATAAGTGGCGGTGGAGCTGAGGACAGAGCATCTACCTTCCACGCGAATAGCCCAGGTTCAAATCTGGGCTAGGGACTAATTTTTCTTTATATTTATTTTATTTTTTAAATTAGTGAAATTCATAAATTATTTTAAAATTAGTTATTTTGTATTAACAACCTAAAATATTTTTTAAGGTTTGTAGATTTTCGTTAGTGGGTTATAGAAAAAATATACTGTACAACTATATCCACTTTTATTGCACAAACTACTATTCTCACCCTAGGTAAATAATGATAATAAAAAAACACCATTTTGTTAATTTGACAACTTAACTCCCAGACTACTTGATATTTCGAAATATTTGAATAATAAGTAGGAAATGACTAAAGCTGGGTTTATCAGAATCTAATCAAATCAAATATGGTAATATATCAGTGATAGTAGTACAAAAAATTATATACCTATTTACTTCGCACATTATATTTTTCGGCGCTACGCGAGCTGTGTAAATAATAGCTCACTTCTCAACCTAAGTGTATAATGTACTATTTCCTAGGAATATTAAGAGCATTTGTTAGAATACTAAAATTAACATTCTGAGGGAATTCAGTTTAGACTGAAATGTTTTGTAACTTGAACAATCACTAAGGGGGTATTTTTATTAAAAGATATATTCATTTCAAAAACCGAAATTACTTGATAAAAAGTCAGCAAGTATTCTTTAAATCAGAGTTACACGCAGGCCAAAACTAAGTCTCCGAATTCAAACAGGTAGTTAGAAAGAGATCGATAGATTGTTGAGCGAGGGTGTAGTATAGGGATAAATCCGAAGAACGGAGGGGGAGGAAGTTCAAACCGCCCTAGTCTGGCGACGCGCCGCGATGGAAATGAAACGTCCCGGTGCTGGAAAGAAGGTCGATGAAAACGAAAGATAAATAGAGCACCTGTTGATAGCGAAAATTCAAAGCCTACTGCTATTGTTTTTCGACGATGACGCCGATGATGTGGGAAAACACATTTGTTTCCGCACGGGAAAATATGAAAGCAAAAGGAGCAACAACTCGAGCTTTTCCCATCCTCGAGTTTTTCCAAATAGACCTTCGATGAAAAATAATGATCGACTGGAAAAAAATGATAACGTTTATTATTTTTCGTTGTTTTTTCTTTTTGTGAGTACGGAATAAATTCGAAGGGATTTTCATTTTTAATCATCAAATAATCAAATGCTATTACATAATTACAAAGATTATGTGTTACGAAAAGTACTTTGAAAGAATAAACATGTAAATAATTTGACATATCAAACAAGCTACCCACAAGTATGTATGTATTTTAACGGAGAAATTAGGTAATGGCGGACGGCTATTCTTCAATGTGCATTTTTGCTAAACATTTCTCTTCGGTGTATTCTAGTGATATTCATTTCATGCTTCTCCAAATTACAACATTGATAAAGTCTTGGAATTTGACTATTTTGATATTTCTATACAAGATGTTTTTAATGAAATAAAATCTAAAGTGTCGTTTGGTCCTGAAGAATTGACTGATTGTTCTTAAAAAATTATGTTTTCTTACAAAACCTTTTCATTTGTTGTACAACTTATCTTTAAAATCTTCAGTATTTTCATATTTCTGGAAGAATATTTTCATAACTCCTATTCATAAGTCTGGTGACTAAAAATATATCCAATTACCGAGGTATCTCAATTCAGTCTGAAATTCCAAAGTTATTAAATAAATTAATTTTTGTATAAATAGACTGATCAGCAAAACATATAATTATAGTTTTTCATTAGGTAAATCAACTTCAACAAATCTTCTGTTATCAAAAGCATTTGACAGTCACGATCTATTAATAAACAAACTTTAGTTTCTTGGAATAAATATAATTATTTTGGATTGGATCAAAAGTTTCTTATAGACTAGGGTGCAGTGTATCAAAATTATTAATTTTTATGAAACGCCTAGACGTTTCTTCTGGAGTATCACTGGGTTCCCACTGTGGACCAATTTAATTTAATTTATTTATTAATATTCATATCTTCCATTTATCGAGGATTTAAAAATATTTAAGTCAGTAACAAATAAAAAGACTATGATTTGTTGCAAATTCACAGGTATGAAGGACTAGATACTAAAACAGGTGGATGGTCTACCGAAAGCCGAAAGGACGCGACAATATTCGAATTGGGTATAAAATTCAGGGTGACCCTATTTGGTAGATTTCTACTTTTTAAATTGTTTAATGTTTTAATAGGAGCAAAATCTGCAGCAGATTTTAATAGAAAATAAACATACAATATTTTACAATATATTATATTGGCGTTATTTCTTGGTCAACTAG